CGCGATACAACAAAGTTCAAGATCGCGCGAGCGCGACGACAAGAGCGTTTCATGGATGGGGTGAATTTCGTCCGTCATTCCTCGACCTATTTCGGTTACGCGAGTGTGCCTACTGTTTATAGTATGTATTTCGCATGAATCTTTTGAATTGCAATGATCTAGTTCATATAACAGTAGTGACCACTGTCTTGGAGTTCTGGCTGAATATCACTACGGCCTACTCCTGACTGTATGGCCTTTACTCGACTGACGTGCGAAGCCGCTGGTGCGCTTCTCTGATGACCAACCTTTGGACGGTTCGACCGGTATCTAACTTATTGATGTAGCGCGCGTTTTAAGACGGGGAGATTCTTCGGGGGGGTGGGGTGTGCTGGGCGGTGTGCTGGTGACGCGCGGGGGGGCGTGCGTATGCCGCGCGTGGTCTACGTCGGACTGTGCGGTCCGTGGCGGTCGCGTGGCTCGCGGGTTGGACGGGGGGCAAGCGCGCACGAGGGTGTCGGAAGGGCGCGGGACGTCTGCGGAGAGCAGGGGTGGGGTATACGTTGAAGTGAGTGTTCGGTGCGTGGCCGTCCAGTAAGAGGTACTGTGGCTTGGTTGCGCACCGGCTTGTGTGGTTCACCCTTGGGGGGACCTTCTCGCTGAGGATAGCTTCGTTCTTTGATGGTAGCTGGGTGGCGTGGAGGGGCCTCAGCCCGCTAGTGCGCCACGGTCGTGGAGACCTGTGAGGACGTTGGTGGGCACGTGCAAGTGAGGAGGGTTGACTGGGTTGAAGTAGAGAAGAGGGCTTTGGGTGTAGTCTAGTTCGGGCGGCGGGGGCTGGTGGGCTGGTTGCGGGGCTTGGGCGTGGACGTCTTTCCAAAATCTTTCTTTCTGTCTTCTGCGCGGTTAGGGGGGGGGAGCTCTGCCCCTTCCTTACAGAGCCCCTCCTCCAACACACACGAACGCGCACATGACCAATGAGGGCACGAGATAAGTTTGTGCACAGATGGAAGGCTGACAGGCAGGCAGGCCAGCCAGTTACTTTAGCCGGGCCGGCTAAAATGATTGGTCGTGCTTTTTACAGCGCTACGGCTTCCACAGATGACATTTTTTTATGTATTTATTGTCAAAGCATTTCATATATTCATTGCTATCGGGATGTTAGGAGCATTCCATGGAATATAACAAAAAGTGTTTCTGAAATAAATTGCATACCCCACCTTTAAGAGGGATTACCTGATCATTGGAATTAATAAATACATTTGATTACATTCAAGACTTTGTCTTTGGGTCGTGCATTTGGGTTCATCAGTTTGTGTTGAAGTCTTGACACTTAGCTGTCAAACACTTGGTTAAACTTTCTATTCAATGACTTTAATAATCTGCTTTTCAATACTGACACAGATCCCAAGATCCAGTATATTATTACCAACCGAGAGGGAAATTGACAGAAATGGTTGAAACTAAGAAAGAAAGAGAGAAGACTTGTTGAGGTGTAAATGTCATTCTTAAGCCTTAATTTCTCAGAGGGTTCAAAATGTTCTCCTTGTAGCCTGTATTCCTTGGGTTTCCACTGAAAGTAAAAGAAAAGTATTGAAATTGCTTTTTTTCGCTTGTTAAATCCTTTTGCTCCCAGTGGAGGTAGTTTCACCAAGTTTTACTCTGACCACATTGCTTTAAGAAGTTTTGTCAGGTCAATGTAGAAAGGAAATTAAGTATAATGCCACATTGTATAAGGGAAACTGCCAAAATACAACATTTAAATCTTAATTCACCCACCTTTTTTACACATTTAAATATATTAAATAACCAATCTCCAGTTCATTATAGGAACACAGAAAATGTGATCTTCAATTCCGGGACTAAAATAAATAACAGTACAGAACACACAGTTACAGAACTGTATTTGGTTACAAATAACATGCCACTGTCAGATGACCAAAGATGTATAGATTGAAAAATATAACTGTTATTGAATGAGGAAGTTGTTTAATCATGTTAACACTTCATGTCCTGTCACACTGATGCAAGTGGCAGAAATGTGGTGACACACACATGTTAAATGGTATAATTCCATCATGCACATGAAATATAGAAGTGTGTGTGTGTGTGTGTGTGTGTGTGTGTGTGTGTGTGTGTGTGTGTGTGTGTGTGTGTGTGTGTGTGTGTGTGAGTGTGTGTGTGAGAGTGTGTGTGTGTGTGAACCAGAGAAACTAATGTCACATGATTTTCACAAGTGTCCGTGGGGAAAAAAGAAACAAAAAGCATTGCATTTGTGCTTACAAATAACAGTTTTAACCATTTACTCTGGAGGAATTAAATTGTAGCACTTTGATGAACTTCCTTTGAAGATGTACCCTCGCCTAGTCCTCATCCCCTCCCATCCCCTGAACAGACTTTTTAGAAACACTCCCTTTTGGACGTCATAGGAGAATTTGTGCAACAATCCTAGCTGTTTTAGCCCTGCGGCTGCACCAGTGTTGCTGCTCCATTAAAAAAAAAAAACTCAACCCCAGTGATGCCTCGATGTTGCGCATAAAGACGAAGCAGTCAGAGAGTTGTAGTTCTTTGTTGTGAACATTCTGTCTGTTGCTTATTTGCTGCATTTTAGACACAGTGCAACTACAGAAGATGCATTTTACAGTGAGATTTTAAGCCAAATGTGCTGCTCTCTTTCCCAAATTAGGAATCAGGTTCCGTCTTTCTCCAGTTCAGCTCCTCTACTGCCCTCCAGTTAGAGGTCATCTTTGAGGTGCTGGAGGAGTACGACTGGACGTCCTTTTCCGTGGTGGCCACACGTCACCATGGCTACCAGGAGTTCCTGTCTATTGTGGAGGGCCTGACCGACGGCTCGTTCATCGGCTGGGAGAAGAAGAGTGTGGTGATCCTGAACGTGACAGACGACCCTGGGGGGGCACGCACGCGCAGGCTGCTGAAGGAGAACGAGGCGCAGGTGAGACAGGGGGGAGGGAGGGGGGAAAGGGGGAAGAAAGGGGAGGAAGTGCTGCGAGTATCCTTGGGGGCCCCCTTTCCGACAGGTGGCTTCCCAGCTTTTTCCTTCCTTCTTCGTCTCTCCCTCTGTCCCTCCACATCTCTCTCTCCCCTCTCTCCTCTATCCCTCTTTTCTTCTCTTCCCCTCCCATCTGCCAAGGCATAAAGAGTTCAACAGTACAACAGAAAAAACACGAGTCATTCTGATTTGCTGCCTGGTTGTCGGGTGGCATTGTACCAAGAGTTATGTGCGAGGTGCTAAAAAATGTAACCACTCAACATACAGTTTTCCCCTGTTTCTACCTAAGCTTTAAAGTTGGACGAACATGCTGTTCCAAACTGTCACAGAGGAACATCTCAGCTTCTCCCAGATCTTCATTGATACTTTAAATGATGTTTGCCCCAAAGTATTCTCAGCTGCTCCGTTCCATCAAATGTGTCTTACACACTATTTTGTACAACTTTCCCCTATAATGTAGCTTGACTTAGTTGTGATCTCTGAAAACCCCACAAGCATTTCAAATCCAGGTCTGTGGTTTTGAACAATGTTAGACACACACTGCTAAACATGGCGTCCAAGCCCTCCCCTCTGGAGACTTTTTCCTGAACCTCACCTTATCGTATTCCATGTTATTTTAATACCTTCTTTTTAATCAAAGTCGAATCCCTATCTTCATTTTCTCTCATTACAAACCTGATAAAACCTCAATCTTTCTCTTGATGGTGAAACAAAACCCTGCATTTTAAATCCACGTTGATTTATTAATGACCAGAATGACTTGTGGTTTTGGCTTGTACCTCTAGTGTGTTTCATTCCTTCATATTGCCTGCCCCTAACCCTCTGCCTTGCTAGTTCTTCCTTTCCCCACTTCTTTTAAACTTCCATTGTCACTTCCCGTGCTCCTCTTAACTTGTGTTTTTACTTCCTTAAACCCCCTCTTTGACCCCCTGATCCTCCTGCTTAGTTTCCCACTCGTCTCCGTGTTCTTACGCTTACTCCACATCCCTCCCCCTCCCCTCTGCCTCCCCTCCTCCGTTTATTTGCCTGGAGACAAGCTCACTCTCCTCTGCTGCCTTCCTGTTCACCTCGATCTCTGTATGGCTATCTTTCATTCCTTCAGTCCATCCCTCTTGCTGCATGTCTTCCCGGCCACGGACTCTGCTCTCCGCTGGCTCGGTTTAGTCAGGGTCTCAATGTCATCGCCGATGTCCCAGCATGGCCACTGCAGCTCTGCGTGTGTGCGCGACTGTGTGTTTGTGTGTCTTAGTGTCCGCGTTTGTATTGGATTCCTTAGACTCCACTCTGCTAGTGTCACTGTTAATATAACATACCGCCTGCAGCAGGTTGCCTATACGCAGTGCTTGCTTTTTAACCCTGTGTTTTTAATAACAAATCCACTGCTTTAAGATTTGTACTACTGCAAGGCTAATACATGCTTGTGATTGCTTAGTAATGCTTAGTGTGTTTGCATTACATGCTTTTCTCTCTCTCGCTATGCAACATGGTTATGTCCTCTACGTTGTGGATGGCCTGAAGCAGGTCTATGGGTCAATTTCTACTCAAATCTTTCACTGTCTTTCTTTTACTCCATCCTCTTCCGGCTTCTGCCTTGTCAGTATGTCTTCTGCTCTCTCTCCTGTTGTACGTTCCTCTCTTTCTCCATTTCCCGTCTTCAGATATTGTGTGTCTGTTTTTAACTCTGATTCTCTCTTTCCCTCCCTAATTCAGTCTCCCTCTCCGTCTTTCACCCTCTTCCTCCCTCCTTTCCCCTTCCTCCTCCCCCCTCTGTCACTCTCATTCCCGGCCTAATTCACTGGAGGTTTATTGGCATACAGGCAGTATTGTTTTGCCAAGCCATTACAGTTCAAAATTCAATGAAGGTGCAATTCTCAAAATGTGCTTTCAGTCTGTGTCCCTGACTCTCTCCCCCCCTACTCTTCTTTTATGAAAGAGTTTTCTTTCTCTTTTTTTTGTCCTTTGATTCATCTTTTTCTAATTTTCTAAAGCGCATCATTTCTTTAAGTTCTTGCTTTATTTTAAATGCTTACGCTCTTTTTGTCTTTTAAGGTATTTGTCAGCATTTAACCCTCTCCCCCCTTTTTCATTTTCCTCTCAGCTCTTACCCTTTATAACCCTCTTTGGTCAATTTCTACCCCCCTCCTCCCCCTCCCTCCCTCCTCTCCCTCCTCTCCCTTCCTTACCTCAGCACTTTCAGCAGAAAGCTCATATACTGTCACTGCTCTATCTTTCTATGTTGCTTCTCACTCTCTTGAATGTTTTCTTCTCTCTTCCTCCCCAGCCACACTCCCTCCCGTGTCTTTTACAAATATCTTTTATCTCTCCAGGCCCTGATTTCACCAAAATATATCATCCTTTTTTACTTCTCCTCACCATCCCCCCTCCTCTTTTCGATCCTCCAAGGAGTGACATTTTTCTGTTCTCCCACCTCTGATTTCTTTCCTCCATCTGCTCCATCATCATCATCATCATCATCGCCTGTTGTCTCCAGATTCTTTTCTCCGCCATGCTTTTAATAACATGTGTCAGTGTTTAACCTCTCCCCCTTTGTTTTCCCTCAGGTGTGTTTGGTCTTTAACCCCACACCCCCCACACTTCCTGTTCCTCCCCGCTTCCCGATCTCTCTCTCTCATTTTCCCTTTCATGTTTTACTCCTGTTTTCATAATTCATAACTGTAACTTTCGTTTTATCAGGCCCGGGCTCATTAAGCACTGACCCCGTTGGCTCCTCCTGGTTAGCACGCGTAACATGCAGCCATGCAGTCTTCCCTCCTTCTGCTGTGTCTGCTTCCCTCCCTGAATCATACGTCCGACTCCAACGAACCTTATCAGCTAACAGCTTTTTCTCTTACCTCCCCCAAAAACACCCTTGTTTTTTTCTTGATATGGCCTTTTCTATCCAACCTCCTCCTCTCCCGTTCAGGTACACCTCTGCTCCAGCTCTATCTTTCTCCCCTTACTTCTCCCTCCCTCTGTCTCTTTCCACGTCTCCCCTGTCCCCTCCTTATCTCACTAGCGTGTGTGTGTCTCCCCTCGTCCCTGTTCCCTCCCTGGCTTCCTGCTGTCCTCCAGGTGCGCTTGCTGTACTGCTCTCAGGAGGAGGCAGAGCTGGTCTTCAAAGCCGCCTGGGCCGCCGGTCAGGCCGGGGCCTCGCACATGTGGTTCGCCGTGGGGCCGGCTCTCTCAGGTTTGAGCATGGAGAGCCTGCCACGGGCTGTGTTTGCCGTGCGGCCCCAGGGCTGGAGGGACGAACCCCGCCGGAGGATCGCTCGCGGAGTCTCTGTGCTGACTCACGGAGCTGTGGCCATGCGCAAGGATTACGGAACAACGGGTGGGCCAAACTTTGTCACCAACTGCATGACGGACGCCAATCAGACCCAGAGACTGCGAGGCAGGATGAGGTGAGAGGGAGATAAGAGGAGAGAGGAACGCTCTTAAGGGAAAATGTGAGGAGGGAAGTGAGATAGACGAAGGAGGGGAGGCAGTTGGCAAGCTCTGGACAAAATATATGAAAAAGGAAGAAAATGAAATAGAGACTGGATCAGGTGTATTCTATGAAACGAGTTGGTTTGGTGCCAGGATGAGCTGGAAGGTATACTGTATGGGTGGAGTCGGTAGATTCCGTGTCAGAGCGCAGGCACTGAGGGGATATCTGAATTTGGAGCTGGCTATCGTCCATGCAAAATAGATGTTGTTAGTGCGTGTAGTTGTGAGTTGGCAAAATTACCCCAGCATCTGTAGCAAGCGGACCATGTCTCATGTATATTAATGAGCTGGCTTTAATATATTCCTCGTAGGCTGTGCAAACAGGCAGCAGCACACTCTAACAGGTAGTGCAAGTGGATGTATTATCTTCTTGTATCGTCTTGCTTCACATGCACACCTCACATATGATTTTGTATAGAGAGACTACTCTAAGTGTGGTCATTGTAATGGGCCAAACATATAATGAATTTGTTTATTTACAGTTATTTAAGCACAGCGCAAACAGCGTGGCGATTATAGGGGAATGATTAATGGTCTCTTTCTTCTTTGTTTATAATCCGTGTCGAACACAGAGAGGGAGATGTTTGCCTTTTTATTATTTTTTATTTTTTGCAGTGCTACCTGCTGTTCACTCTCTGTAACTACAAGCTGCTCTGCCATATGAGGCTGTCTGTCATGCAAAAAAAGGCTTTCGGGTTTTGTTTTGAAGCCAGCAAGATGACATGAGGCGACAGTTAGCACGTCTGTCCTGTGTTATTATCAGACGAACTAAAGAGCTCGCAGCCGATTCAGAGAGCAGCAGTCGTTTGATTTCAAAGATCCTGACAATTCTGTACGCCTGATCATTTGTCTGTAGATTTGATTAACAGAGAAGCCCTCACTGTCACCACAGAGGTGCTGTGATTTAGTTTCAAGCAGGGAGACAATAGGATAGGCTTACTGTTGCATCATGAACAGCCCTTTTTCTTTTCTCTCCTCTAATAAAACAAGTGGTTAATATACTAATATTATAATATTTTTGGTCATTTACTTACTTCTCCTTCTGCCCCCATCCATTGCCATGTAGGTATTTCGGCAACATAACGCTTGGTGGTCGTGACTATTCCTTCAATGTGGACGGTTACCTGGCCAACCCATTCCTCGATGTCATTTCCTGGACACCTGGACGTGGATGGGAAGATGTAAGGACATGATATCAGTTACTTATCGCTACTAATGAGTACTCAAGCATGAAGAGTCTCACTTTTGAGAAGAAAAGGACATGCTTTCTGTTGAATCATATAATGCACAAAATATATTCTTTTTTATTCCATAAACTGTTTAACTTGGAATACATGAGAAACTGGACATGTGTCCTCGGTTGCAAGGACAAAAGTGTCTAGCAGTTGGACCCAGAGCAGGTTTTTGTTGATTGGTTCTTGAGGTCTAATCTCTCCATGCGAGCCATAGGAGCAGATTTGTGCTGCATTGGCATCGGATATAAGAATATATACCTGACAGTGAGAGTAGTCAGGTCGCGTGGGTCAGATCCATGTAAAGTTCACTTTGGCTATCAGTGCCCGAGGCAGAGGAGGGAAGTCTGCTGCTGACCGTTTGACTCTGCTTTCTGTGCTCCTGCTGTGCCTCCTCACTTTCTGCTGTCTCTGTGTAACTCTGCTATGGCTGCTTAAAGCGCTGTCACACAAAACCAACAATGCACAAACATACAATCATAAAGCAATCACTTTATAACTGATAATTGATAGATCATTTAACTATTACTACTTATTTAGCAGGGCAAATATTATTTCCAGATGGTAAAATGTAAAAAGTTGTTTTTTAGATTTTATATAATTGTTAATTGAACCTCTTGGGGTTGTGGACTGTTGGTCTGACAAAACAAGCATCACCATGGCCTCTGGGAGATTCTAATTGATCAGTTAATCCGTGAAAAGATAAAATCCTCACAAGATTAAAGGATAGGTAAACATGTTTTTTGTCTTTATACAACATGTGCATGCCTATATTTAGCGAAAGTGATGGAGGAAAAAATCCACATCTACACAAGTTAATCTTAGTTTTGTGCAAAAAATGTGTTTCCAAGGTGAAGCCAATACTGTATGAATACTGCTTCAGCAGTCTGAATGATCCAAATCAAGAGTTTATTCTCTTTGGTATGAATTTGCCTCTTTGTGATTCAGTGGGCAATGTTGCTGAAATGCAGCAGAGGAAAAGTAACACAAAGGTATTTTTGTTCAAACAGACTTGATGTTACTAACTCAGACTGTTGGAGCTTTACCTACAGTAGCTTTGGCTGGATATTATAATGTTATGTATTACAAGATGGAGAGAGGACTGTAGATTTTGTCCCCCATCTTTTACACAATAGGAAGAAACACTTCACGCCACTAAATTGGAAAAAATCGTAGTCTTTAAATGTACATATGGGTATGAGAGACTATTTAGACAGTCTTTAGAAATGTAAAACCTATCCTCAGATCAATAGATATACATACTCATACATTTCATTCTTTGTCACCTTACTAAAAGCAATGTTCTGATGTTGCTCTGATCAATAGCTGCTGTATGTCCTCTGTGCTGCCTGTATTACCAGGCATTTTACTGTAAAAATAAAATACAGATTTAAGTAGTGCTGAAGATTTCTAGTTGTCATTACCATCTGGTTGTAGACTCACGTGTGTTTTGTATGTTAGTGTCTTCATAACTGTATGTGCGTCGAGCTCCAGAACCCCAGCGTGGCATGCATATGCTATAAAGCTGTGGTTCGTTCGGAAATCCTTAATACGAGGCCTTGTCACCTGTTGGACATGTTTTCCCTTTAATACTCCGGGATTTTACTCTTGTCAGTGTCAGAAGAGAGAGTAATGCTCATTTTCTCAATCTCACACCAGCACCTCAACACCACTCTGTACATGCAGTATACTGTCAGAACATACACTCTGCCACTGCACATATAATCACTGATGCACCCACACAAGGTTACACACAAAATACACACGTCGGTGGTTCTCAGCCTCCTGCTGGTTTTAACAGCCCACCAGAGTCCAGTCTCAGCGTGTCGTAACATGCTGACTCCTGCCATATCCCTCAAATCCCTTTCAATTAGAAGCTCCTGCGCTGGTCCTTCGACTCTGAGCCAACCCAGGGTACAAAACCCGCCCACACACGCACACACACACATGGACACATACACACCCATACCTCTAACTTGCATACATACATTCACATTTGTATGCACAAATGAGGGCACAAAGTGTTTGCGTACACACATATACTTACACCCTTCTTGCATAAACCCTATTGCACACACGCACACAATGAGGATAAGACGCATGTATCTGCCTATTATGCACATCCACGCTGTTGGCTCTCCTTGAATATTTAATGTTCTCTTTACAATGACTGCACCATTACCTAGAGCCCCGGAGCACCCAGCTCAGCTTACTGAAACACTGCAGACTAGTACTGAAGGTTGTCCAGCATTAGCATGGCTTGTTTAAGATACAGATACAGCATGATCTTCCAGGATATTACCGTGATATAATTAACATTTATGAATGCCCCACAGCTGCTAAGGGATATTATTTTAAGTTTCAAGAGGCTCCCAGAACTCAACTTTTGCCCCGAGAGCCAGAATACTCTCTCTGCCGAAAAATATTCCAGCCATTTGAAGAGTCCAAAGTAGTATTTTTTCTTCTTCTGATGCTTGTGTGTGTATTTTTCTGGATTTGTGTCTGCTAGAGCTCATAGGAGAACACACTAATTTGTTTCCTGTCTGTGTTTCCCGAGTGTGTTGATTGAATGTCTGTTGCGGTCGAAGTGCAGTCGAAATGCTGTCATTGTTGCCACCTTTTCCTCTTCTCCCTGCCAGCGCATTACAAAGAGAGGCAGGCTAATCGCAGCTGCCAAACTTTACATCACTCTACTGACCTGCTTATGCACACAAATTCTTTTCAGCATTTTGCGTGCGTGACTGTATATTTTTTATGTATTTCTTTGTGTATACAGTGTGTCTGTAAGATTGGGTGAACAGTGTGTACGCACACTGTCTTTTGTGCGTGTCACCTCTGTTACACTTGTCCTGACACCTTACTGTAGACGAGACTTTTATCATGTGATCATGGCAAGATGTGTCAAGCGATGCTGCAAGAGGAAGGTTCATACAAAAAAGAGAGAACAAACTCTGCACTGAATCTTCTTGGGTGTGGTTTCGACTCGTACTGCTTTGGAAAGGCTGAGTATGTCAGGCATCCATCACATCCAGAGGGCATATAAACAATGCAAAGGGACGGGGCAGACAATGATACAGCAGAGGGAGGCTTGGCAGTCATTTTAGGTCAACAGTGGACACAAAACAATGTCATCTCAAAACATGAGCCTCAAACAGCTTATAAAATCATACTGAAATCAAATCTGTGGGCATGAATCTAATCCCTGTTTAGAGTCCCTAATGTGCTTTTCAAAAATGTAAAATGCTTTTTGACGGGTGCTTGACACCAGTTTACATTAAGCTTTTTCCCAGGATGTTGAAAGGCCTATAGGTTTGAAAAGTGGATTTCTGTTCACCATATCTTTCCAATACAGCCCACTGTTTGTGCAAACATGAATCTAATAGTTACTTTCGTCCTACTCAAAGCTATTATACATAATTATATGGCACTGTGTGATTTTACATTAGGTGCATTTATAGTACAAACAAATCTGAATAACTCCTGTGATCCCATCAATCAGCACATACGCAAGTATTTCAGGAAATTGCTCCCAACCCACATAATTTTGGATATTTAGAGAAAAAAATATGAAGTTGGCACAATAACCTTCTCAAATACACAAAGTATTATTTATTCGTTTTTCGTTGAGTCGTATATGTTTTTATACATCATCTTCTTACAGTTGTTATCGGTATTGCGAGGGATTTGTTGTGTTAATGTTTGTTGTGTTTACCTTTTCAGTGTGACTAAGAAAATGTGTAAGGTTATGGTATTTTTATCATTATTAAAAAGAAAGCCTTATTCATCTATTTAATGAACATTTATTTTAAATCCAATGTTGAGTGTCTCCTTATCAGTAAAACAGTGCTCTAATTGAACAGCTTTAATTTGTAGCTTTCCTAAATAAACTGGTTGCGTGTTTAATAGTGGTGTTTCAGTTTGACCAAGTATCTAAGCTTTATTTTTCCTCATCATCAAATAGACACTTTAATACATTTCTAATTTAAAAGTACATTGATCAGACAGCTTGACTGAATTAAAGAAGGAAGGTACCGAGTTCTAAATTCACAAATGGACTCCTCACAACTCGTCATCTTGAGCAAAGCTAGTTTTAGCTAGAAACAATCTTTCTACCAAATGCTGAGGTACAATATTATTTCCAACCCTTTCTTTCAACGTTCTAGTTAGACATTGAGCATGTCGACCCTCAAGAATGATTAGCAACTGTGATTGTATGTGTTGGAATAACCATATCAGTGCAAAAGACTTATGTTACGCCGGAACATGTTAGCTACTTGATCAGAGACTTGGTAATTTTCGCATGTGAAATTGAAAGTGTATATTCCCTCCTATATAAAAACAACTTTAAGAGCCAAATACAGGTTCTTAAACGGCTGGAAAACTGCATGTCCCCCCTTTTTTCCAAATCAGCTTGTTTTACTTAGATGTACCATACATATTTTCTTTTAATGGATGATATTTATCGTTGAAATGTGCTCCACCTCTCTCTCATCTTCCTCTGGTCTGTTCCTCCAGGTAGGCTGGTGGGAGAATGGAGTGCTGAGGCTCCGGTACCCAGCATGGTCCCGCTACGGGCCATTCCTTAAACCACCTGACGATGCCCAGCACCTGCGCGTTGTCACACTGGAGGAACGGCCATTTGTCATTGTGGAGCTGGCAGACGCTGCATCCGGGACCTGCATCCGTGACTCGGTGCCCTGCAGACGACCCCTTAACGCCAGGTATGAGTCCTTTAGATCTAAGGTCTATGGGTCCCAGTGTTTTAACTAGGATTTCGATGTTGATGTTTATTAAAGCTGGACATAATAATCATCATCAAGGAGATCAAATGAAAAAGACAGAGATGTAGCCCTTACTTTATTTACCAGTGTTATGAATGGAGTTCCTCAGCTCCCATCATGGCATCCAGTGAAAGTGACATCAAAACTATGGTCTCTTCACTCCCTGACCATAATCAATAACAGACTGCTCTCCAGAGGATCAGTGGAATGACTCAGGGGTCCTGAATCAGATACGACCGCAGTGGAGCTTTATGGTTCATCAGCTTCCGAGGGATGACGGCACCTATCCTACACTGGTCGATCAAACCTGTCACCAACTGATGGGCCACAATATCTCTCCGCAGTGGCCATTTCATTCTGTTTTCCTCTTTTTCCTTTCCTCTCGGACTATAACACGCGACTCAGGATGCACACTTTAAAGGCTTATTATTTGACACTATTACTCAGATTTTTAAAAAGTTTTTTCCTCTTTCACAGTGTCATCCATGAGGGCGTGGCTCCCATGAAGCAGTGCTGCAAAGGCTTCTGCATTGACATCCTCAAGAGATTGGCCAAGATTGTCGGCTTCACCTATGACCTTTACTTAGTGACCAATGGGAAACATGGGAAGAAAATTGATGGGGTTTGGAACGGAATGATTGGAGAGGCAAGTCCCTGCGTGTGTGTGTGTGTGTGTGTGTGTGTGTGTGTGTGTGTGTGTGTGTGTGTGTGTGTGTGTGTGTGTGTGTGTGTGTGTGTGTGTGTGTGTGTGTGTGTGTGTGTGTGTGTTGTACGTGTCTGTACCTGTGGTTCTGCCTGTCTGCCTTTGTGAGCAATGTGTTCTCGATGTCGGTCCCGTGTCACTTCGCTCTTGTGAAGGTTGTTTGTGTGTGACTGTGAGTGTGTGTAAGTTTATATTTATGCCTCCGCATATGTTTTGTTGCTTTTTCAGTCAAGAAGCTGCATAGTAATATTTCTGTTCCTGGGACCTGGGTGACCAGTTAGACGCTGTGTGCCACATCAATTGCTTTGAGAGTTATGGCCACTTAAAACTTACCAAGACTCAGACAGCTGTCATTTATTACACACACACACACATTTGCAAACACAAATACTGATATGGAGGCTAAAAAATGCACAGTTACATAATGTAGACAGAGAAGCTAGATGGCTAACATATGCAACGAGCACGCAGTCTCTTACAGTCTGCACAGACACAAACACGAAGAAGCACAAAAACACACACGTTTTCAGACACCCCCTGGCTAGTTGTGATTTGTCCTTGATATTTTCGCAGCAATACACACTGGGGTTCATGATCTCCCATCAAGAAAGAAACAGAGATGCTGGCAGAAAAAAAAACAGAAACAGGCACACACAAACAAACAAGCGCACACACATGCTCACATACTGAGATCGATACGGCGCTGCTGTTTCATTGAAGCAGCCCGCTGTTTCTATCTTTGTCCCAGAAGGAAACTTGCCAAACGCCAGTTGTCACAGGTTCCCAACAGTTCCACCACGCTCTCCTGCGCTATCATTTATAACTTGAGCCGGGGCCAGCGCTGTCAGTCGAATCTATTTTCATATGCATAATGCCAAACAATTTTTATTTACAAAAACTAATGTCTGTCTTTTGATCAGATATTCCAAAGCTGCCTTTCTTTGATCAGGTAATCCAGAGACTTGGCAAAGTTGAGGGGAGGGTGCTTTGCTTTCCGCTTCGCTTCATTTTTCTGCTGATTTGCTCTGAAGAGCGGATGTGCCATGTCTAATGTAGATTAACATTTCACTTGTACAATCAGCACACACAGCAGTTTTCAGGTTTTGTAGATGGTGGCAGGGGGGTGAAGGGCCCTACCCTCATTTTATATGCTAAAGAGATGCAGAAGAAACACGTGTTCAGTATTTGTACCAGATTGAATCCTTGGCCTTTTCCCATGCAGGCATATTTGAGGAAGTACAAAGGGTCAGGGTGCAGAAATGTCACCATCTCACCTGGACATAAACCTTTGTGAACTGTAAAAGATTGGTTTTGTCATTCTGAAACCTCCACAGGAATTACCCATTATTAGATTTCTGTCTCACACTAATTCTCGTTCCCTGTAGGTGGTGTACAAGCGAGCCGACATGGCCATTGGCTCGCTGACTATCAATGAGGAGAGGTCGGAGGTCGTGGATTTTTCCGTCCCCTTTGTTGAGACGGGGATCAGTGTCATGGTCTCCCGTAGCAACGGAACTGTATCACCATCCGCTTTCTTAGGTGAGGCGTGTTTGTGTGAGAAGCCCCGCTGATGTACAGAATCTAATCTAATCGGGAAGTGTTGAGTTTGCATAAAGCAGTCTTTGGCTGCTGGTCCTTACATCTAGATTAGCCCTTACTTTTTCTTAGCTGCTCGTGTCTTCACAACTTGTAGTTTCACTCTGTCAGCAGACTCGAGGTTCCGGCGGGAAAACATTTATTGGCCTATAGACTGCATCAAGATGATTGTTAAAAGAGAAGCAGTGTTAGGGGGAGCTATTTTCACTGCCTATGGTGCTCTTTCCCTTTGTATACAGTATATAGTACATAATGTGCCAGGGTTATTAAACGCTCTTGATCCTTCTATAAACCAGTTTTTAATTACCATGATCTGAAATCTGACTGTAGTTTTAGTCTTCAATCATATATTGAGTCTTATCTCGTCTGTTCCAAGTGCACAGACTGAACTAGGAATGAAAGCTTTTATGTGCTCTGCTTCCCGCACTTGAAATAGCCTTCAAAAAACTTGAAACTAAGAGAATTGGCCTCTCTGTCTGATTCTAAAGCTCTTAAAGGAACAATTGTGAACAGATCTTGTCACTTTGCATAGTTATTTTAACATTATCTACAAATTAATGTATTTCTGTATTTGTTCTTGCTGTGATTCTTTTGCAATGTATTATGCTTTGTGAAAGTGATTGTTCACCTCAACTAATCTGGAAAAACAAATAATAATGATGATATTAATAATATATGAATGTAGTGGTTTAATAAGCCCTTGTGTTATATGTTAATTTCCTCCCTTTGCTTTATTTCAAAGAGCCCTACAGTCCCGCGGTGTGGGTGATGATGTTCGTCATGTGCCTGACCGTAGTAGCTGTGACCGTCTTCATATTTGAGTTCTTCAGCCCTGTGGGCTACAATCGCAGTCTCGCGAACGGCAAGAGTGAGTGACGGATCAAAGATGTCAGTCTTTCTGTCTGATAGATGGCTCTGCGTGCAGTCCGCTGCTTTTGCCACAGGGATGAAATTCAAATAGGATTTTTTTTGTATGATAATGAATTTTTTTGTTTCTTTTAAAAAACAAAAAATAATAATCTTGCTGTCTGATTGGTCAGTTGTCACATTCAGAATGCAGCGATTTACATTTTGAATGCGCTTCCCTAAATCCTTTACTGTGAGTGTGGCGAAGAGGACATTTTACCTTCAGTATGTTGAACTGAATCCAAGTATTCTACAATATTGAAGCAGCCATTTATTATTCAACAGCATAGTTTGTACCCCTGTGATATTCAGTATGCCTGATACCCGACTCGCCTCTTTTACTGCATGATTGCTGTGCTCCACATAATTTTACCTCTCTGTCATCCTCCTATATATCCCTCTCATTCACTCTCACCCCTCTCCTTCCTTCCTCCTTTACTCCTGTTGTATAAAGAGTGTTTGATCTCTTTGAATGGTGACTTGCACCATGTGGTTTAATCATTTGTAAGATTACGAACTGTAGCAGTTGAATTGAAGGCTGCAAACCTTAAAACGTATAGTCACCACTTTGTGAGCTTTGTTGTCAATGAGCATTTGAGGTATTTTCATATACAGTAAGCCTATTTTACAGATCATTCAGTGAAGTTTAATTCGATCGGATGCTGCATCTGTAGTCACACATTCATGAATTCACAATTGGGCCGTGTACGGGCTGGATCTGATCTAGAAAAAAAACTAATGTTACAACAATTCATTACGGTCTCTTTTTCCTCTCTTTTATATTTCCCACTGCATTATTTTGTCCAGAGGCTGGAGGCTCTACTTTCACTATAGGGAAGTCGGTATGGCTTTTGTGGGCTATTGTCTTCAACAACTCTGTGCCAGTGGAGAACCCCAGAGGAACCACCAGTAAGATCATGGTGCTGATCTGGGCCTTCTTCGCTGTCATCTTTCTGGCCTCCTACACTGCTAACCTGGCAGCCTTCATGATCCAGGAGGAGTACATTGACACAGTGTCAGGGCTCTCGGACAAAAAGGTACCTCGTTGCCGGAATGCTGATTAAGTAGGGGGAAAGCAGAAGGAGAATTAAAGTCTTAGAGTGAGCCAAATCCGGTGCATTTGAATGTTAAATTGATTAAAGTGCGGGAATTTAGAAAATGAATAAAATCGCATTTAACATAACTCAATTATCACAGTTCTTGAATGCTTTTAAGTCAGTACTAAATGCTTCTTTAAGTCCACACACTGCACTCTTCGGAATTGTTTGACTGTGCATGGAGTGTTGTAAGTCTGGAGAGTGGACAGAAATAGGTCAGGCAGATTGGTGCACAGCCTGGTGTGTCTCATGCCCCTTCCGTCTCCCTCCCTTGCCTCCCTTTGCTCCGATAGTTTCAGCATCCCGAGGAGCAGTACCCACCTCTGAAGTTTGGCACGGTGCCCAACGGGAGCACGGAAAAAAACATCCGCTCCAACTACCCAGACATGCACCAGTACATGGGCAAATACAACCAGAGAGGAGTGGAGGACGCCATAACGAACCTAAAGACTGGGTCCGTCTGCTTCAACATCTTATTCATTCCGTCACATTCACCTGTTTCTTTTTTTATCAGCTAACTCTGTGTGTCTGCGTTTACATTCAAGCATGCTTTTCAAACTTTTGTTTCTAAGATCAGACATTAGATTTGATAAACAGAAAGTTGTTAGAAAAGGTTCACACCCTCCTGTGGTAAACCTAAAACTATATTTTAGTTTTCTTGAGAGATACAATCTCTATGCCAAATAAGTTTACAAGACAGCAATAACAACAACCAAGATGCTCATACAACAAATTAGTAAGTGCTAATCCAGTGGTTCTGAAACTTTTTCTGTCAGGCCCCCCTTTTGGAGAAAAAGAAAAGTCGGGCCCCCCCAACACAAATAGTCAGGCTCAGTGGCGGCGCCAGAGATTTATTTTGGGGGTGCTGTGGGGTAGCTTGACGTTTCATAGAGGGTGCTCAAACATTTAGGGTTTCCCATTAATGTACCGGTCGCTACAGTGGAATTTTCTACTGGAACAATCCTCACGCATATACACAATATACCCGCGACTGTTACAATGAAGGCTCGATAATCAGCTCACGGCATATAGGTGTAAGCAGGGTTAAAGTGCTATTTTTATAGGTGGTGTGTGGACCTCACATAGGGGGGTCCGGGGGCAAGCTCCCCCGGGAAGATTTTTAAATATTTAAGTTAAAAGCATCAATCTGGTGCACTTTGAGAGCAAAATGAAGAGATCTATGGATACATCTCTCAACACAGAACTGTAAACAGATTTACTTTATCTTTATGGATATTTTACAAATCACTCCCCTTTTAAACTTTATTCTTGTTTTACTGTCATATAGTATTTCATACCTGTTTTTAATTTATTCTCTTATTTTTTTATAACTATAATGATCATATAAACGTGTGCCTTGGCAGTCTCTGTAAACAGATTTACTTTATCTTTATGGATATTTTACAAATCACTCCCCTTTTAAACTTTATTCTTGTTTTACTGTCATATAGTATTTCATACCTGTTTTTAATTTATTCTCTTATTTATTTAATAACTATAATGATCATATAAACGTGTGCCTCGGAAATAATTGTTTACATTAATGGTGACCAAAACGTTTGAGACCCACTGAGATAACACTGAGAGAGTCCTTTAGCTCACTGAGTCTCTCAGGAGAGGACTCTCCTCCACTTTGTTGTTGAAAAAACTCCTTATATCCGTTAGCGTAGCTCGCTAGTACCAGAAGCTAACATCAACGATGTCCGGTACCGGTGGCTCTCTCTCTCTCTCTCGCTCGCGCACACACACAAAATGGCTCGTTCCACACACACACAGAGCCGAGCTTTAATGAAACACAGAGACCCAGACGTAATAGTACTGTATCATATTATTTTCGAATCAATAATCTTTCAAAATATGATTTTTTTTTTTTTTTTTTTTT